CCCCCCCGTCTCTACTAAATTACTAAAAGCTACCGTTCTCATACTCCAACAGCTCCAAGAGTCCAGCGAAACTGGTTCCGTTCATTCCATTCATTCGGATCACCGAGGCTCCCAGACTCCAGCAGACCATAGGGAACTGCCACAGGGTGACCAACGGAATATAGCTGTCATTGCTCAGTCAAGGCCAACTCAGAACGGAGAATTATCGAGTGCAAATCATCGTGTTGAGCCGTCGCATCGTAACTATGAGGAAGGAGATCAACGTGGAATACCTATGTATGAAGGACGAATGCAGCCAGTAAGTGTGTGGTTTGTTTGAAATTTTACGTAAGTTTGTGGTTTGTTTGAATTTTTACATATGATATTTCAGGGATCGAACCTTGGTTATTAATGATTAGGAGAGTGAAGTCTTTTAACACTGGTGAAAATATACGGGGCATGTGTGCGTCATGTAAGGGATATCATGATYGACAGGTATCGATCCTTTGTCGATACGGTAGGAAAATTTCGTTAGCGTTTTTGACATTTAAAGAAATTTACAATTTTAGCAAATTAATGAGAAATAATTGACAAACTTTGCGGTGTTTTGTAGTGTTAATTTGTAACTTGTACACACCTACAAACGATCTCGAAGGATTCTTTTTACTCCGCTAGTGTTTTTTGCTAGGTAAAGAAAATTACTAGTAAATTGATGTGAAATAATTGGCAAAAGCTTTGCGGTATTTTTTTTATGTTAATTTAATTTGTACACTCCTACAATATACTCGGGCGTAATGTTTTCCCATTTCAGACCACGTGTCATTACCTATAGTATCATTTATTTGTTTAACGCATATGCTTGGTTGCACATGAGAAGACGCATGAATATGGATACAACTCAAACAAAGAATCTTATTCTCAAGGGAATGACACGTGGTCTGAAATGGGAAAACTTTACGCCCGAGCCAAGGAGGTCTATTATCGATGTTCGGTATGCTTACATCTTCGTAATGTTTTCATTGATTAATTTCCATTCCCGGTACGTTTGTTTCAGAGGCAACAACAGCCCCCGTCCATCCCCCCACCGATTTACCCCAACCAACCTCGATCAACGTCAAGCTACAGCTCAAGTCTACCGTCCCAGCATTCATTTCGAGAAGAAGCTCCTAGTTCTACGTCATCAATGCGCAACCCACCCGCCACAGGAGAATGGATACGAATCAACGAACGTCCACAGGGATCCCAAGGATCAAGTGCAAGTTATGATGACGTTCACTCGTTCCATTCTGAAGAGCCTAGTGTTCTTTACAACGATAACACTAACCAACCAGTCCTTAGACCCCCTTCGTATCATGAAGCTATTGGTCAACCATCCGGGGAACTTGTCAGTCATATTTACGTCGACCAATTACGTCCCTCCGCTACTAGACCAATCGACACTGTACCGGAAGTGGACCCACGATTTTCACCTCCGCCAGGATACTCCACAATTGATCCACGCCTGTGGAACCAGGCCTCTACAGGTTACCCACAACCCCCTGCGAGGCCCGACTATAGTACCGTCCCCACTTCTGGTTCTCAAACTTCCGGTTTTATAACCGCTGGTCGACAACCTGTGTCGTTGTCCAGGCCGGAAACCAATCAACGACTTCCGCAAAATGACGTATATCCTGCTAATGTCCCGGATGCTGCGCGTTATGAAGAACAGGTACGGCAACTCCAGATGCAGCGAAGAGAAGGAAATCGCTTCGTAGATTCTGGTTCTTTAGATAGAGGAGGCGTAGGATTGGGAACAAGAGATTCCGCTGAAAACCTTAGAGTAAGAGAAGAATCCGTACCAGTCCCCTCTCGGCATGAAAACAAGGTACGGTATTGTGACTAAACAATATTCCCTTTCACAGTTCCCTGCGCCATCTTGAAAGGTAACCGTGCCTTTGCAGCGAAGCGAGACATTTTTTGGGCATAATTTGGAATGTTTTTCTGTCACTTTTTTATGCACGATTTTTTTTCCCACTCTTTAAAGCTGTGCTCGAATTTTTTTTGGTTTTTGCCCAACCCCCACTCCCCCTCAAAAATCTAATGGTCCCACCCTTAGGAAGTTGAGAATCATCCCACCCAGATCCTCTTACAGCCAACGTCTTGACCTGGGCTTATATGCATGAATACTTCAGATTTGAGAGATGCGTAATTCGATTGACACCCTTGGCTCTTGTCTTATAACTAAGTTATAACTGTTCCCCAGTATACGATAAATCCTGGCTTTAAAGTAGGGTCCTTCGCTATAATTATCGAGTCATAACTTCATTAAGAGGTGGAAATGAGCAATACTCAAAACTGGCGCAGTAATACAGAGGTATGGTGCTACTTCGTGCTTGTTTTTCACTCAGGATGTGGTTGCTAAAACACATAAAACCTTCAGTTGATCAGTTTAAAGTCAGTAATTTCTGCTCTTTAGCGCGACAATTTTTTCTTGTCTTTGTCCTGATATTTTGAACATTTTTATTTGTCTTTTATTGGGCATTAAGTATATCTTAAAACTGGGTACGATTCTGCTCGATTTTAAGCCAAAACAGCCGGACAGCAGACCTCAGAAACACACAGCGTCCTGAAGAAGCCGCGACTGTTGTCGTAAATATTTTTATCGCCAGCTGAATGAACTTTGAACTCTAAATTTTCGATGTCTCGTCGATATGATGCTATTATGGTTATTTGTAATAACAATTGAAAAAATAAACGACCTTGAAAAATTCGAAAGAAATCCCCAAAATTTCAGACTGAGACGAAAAAATTGGCGCATGGAAAGTCCAACCTCCGAAGGAGAGACAGGGGTGTACCACGATTTCCAATGGGGGAGGGGGAGGGGCGGCACTTTCCTCTAAACTCAATCCCTCCCCCCCCCCCCACCCAAAAAAAACAGTTAATGGTAAGGGGAACCTATAGGCACCTCAGTACCTCCTGGATACGCCACCCCCAACCCCCTACCCCCCGAAACAGTAGCATGTCGTTTCAGTTTGTCAAAGTATACACCGAATCGTAAAATGGCGACTTATTTGAATAACTGTTCTGTATTAACTAGCGACTGACTAGCCTCGTGTTGACGTGGAAACATATAAGCGTTTCCACATGTATGAGAGAGGCATGTCAGTCGCTAACCATTACAGAACAAGTATTCAAATTGATCGCCATATTTCGATTCAGTGTATGACGGATTTATTTTTCGTTTCTACAGTTTTCTATTCGAATACACAAGAATCCTAATCTTGGTTTTAGCATCGCTGGAGGAAAAGCCTCAACGACGAACCCTTTTGATCCTCAAGATCCCACGGTATTTTGATCTTATTATAGAATATTCCTGCTTGTTTGATGATGGTATTTTACAGGGGGCTCTCCAGGATGGGTGTGGTCAAACTACGAACCCTTTTGATCCTCAAGATCCCACGGTATTTTGATCTCATCATAGAATATTCCTGCGTGTTTGATGATGGTATTTTACAGGGGGTTCTCCAGGGTGGGTGTGGTCAAACTACTAAATTTTCTTAAATGCTGAAACAACCTCTGGGCACATCAAAGTCGGGACATGGCTAACTCACAGATAGAACCCTGTAACAACCTCTGGGCTGATCTAAGTCAGGGCATGGCTAACTCATAGATTAAACCCTGAAACATCCTCTGGGCACAGATTGATTTGGAATTTATCATGTTAGATTTTTTAGAGAAAAGCCTTAGAATCAAGGGAGAGACCTAACAAATTCTACTCACATGTGAAGATGAGTCCAGGAATCTAACCCGAGACCCCAGAGGTGAGAGGGGAATACACTACAGTTACCTCAGCCAATCATCCCCCTCCCTTCCACAAACAATTCTTTTATGTGTTATGCCCCACTTCCTTATGAATACATCCAACAGCATGCCTAGACGTTTGCATTAATTTTTCGTTTTTTAAATGGTGGCCTTGTGTTGTTGTAGTGCATATACGTTACTAAAGTTCAACCAGAGGGACCTGCAGCTTTTGCCTTAAAACCAGGAGATAAAATATTAGAGGTAAGACTCCAACCATGTTGTTTGTCTTTGATATCCTTCTCTTGGGTTTTCCCTGAGGATCTGGACTAATTCGCTTGTTATTTCCTTCATGGGCACAGTACCAACACGTACGCTTTTATCATGACATCTCTCGACGTTCTCTCGGGATTTTGATACAAAATCTTTACCGATCTCAGTCTCCCCTTCTGTCATCCCTCGGGATCCCTGTTGTCCCAACTTTCGGGATCTCGATATCACGTCTTTCCGGATTCAAATGACCCAATGAATTCGCGGGACCTCGATATTCCTTCCCGCGAGATTTCGATGCCAGGCTTGAAATGTTATTATTCCTACAGACCTAATTCAATGCGCTCTTATTTATCTCAGGTGAATAGTATAAGTCTAAGGAACGTGTCCCACGAATACGCCGTAACGTTCCTCAAGAATAACCAAGTAGTAGATCTGTTAGTGTCACGAACAGAGGACCAAAGATAGCACCCACCTCTTGGGATTTGGCAGAATATATAAATATTGGTTCTCAACTGAAATGGACAGATCCGGCCACTGGAATATATATTGTGGACTGAATCCCACGATGCTGCTTCTTGGCCACATGAGGACTAAGATATACTGACACACAAATATTTAAACAAAGAGGTTTATATAGAACTGATATAAGACAGAGCAAAGTCGTGTGAAAACTGCAATGGGCCGTCCTTTTCTTTCATTCCCAATGAAGTAGAATTATACCCGGTAATATTTCTATATTGGAATATCTGAAGAGATTCTTATCTAGCAACCGACCCTAACTAATTCAAATTCTGGTTGGAACTGTGCTGCGGGGCCAAAGATGGACTGTCAGAGGCGCCTTCACATGCTTTCAGTTCAACCTCATTTTGAGCTGCGCCATTGCTGTACTTGCGGTGGTGAATGGCGACAACAAGGTTCTTTAGAAAATACTTCAAAATTTGCATTTTGCACCAATTCAATGCAAGATAAGATAGGATTGCATAGGTTTTGCAAGGGTATTGGCGTCTTTGCTGTTTATGGAAAAAGGATTCCGATAGAGCTTTCGTTTTAATTTGAGTACTACTATTTTCAGTTAACGTGTCATTCCCTTCAATAGTATTTCTTTTCTTCCAATTTAGCAATACACAATATGGTTGTAACTTTTTAAAAAAAGGATTGCACAGTATCTGTAATGAATTGCCCAAGCGACACGTAAAAGGTCTCTGCTGGCAGTGACATGACTGGCAGAAGATTCCCTCATTTTATACCATCCTGATGTATTGTCGTATCTTTTAGCTGCATTAATTTTTTCTATTGAATGCGGGTCATTTTTGAGACATTTCTTAACACTGAAGTAGGGCCAAAGACGTAGATGACTACTTTAGTGAAATTCGCTACTATTTGAGGAGGCACGTGCCCTAGCTTGCGCAATTTATTTTCCGTCGCAAATCCTATACTGTACAATAACGAATTAATGTTTTAGAAACATCCTGAAGTGGTAATTGGAAAATGAGATTTGTATTAATTTTTGGACTTTGAAAATGGAATGGGTTTTTATACTGAGAATGGGAATAGACCATTCCAGAACACTTCATTCTCTTGTGAATGAGATTCTTTGTTTAAGTTGTATCCATATTCTTGTGTCTTCTCATGCACCACCGTTAAACAATGGAATGGTACTCTAGGGAATGACACGTGGTATGAAATGGTAAAACATTACTGACTCCAAAGATAGACAGGTCTGTTACGTAACTAGAAATGTGAAACAAAATTAGGAATTTTTATGAATTTAATATAAGATTTTCTAATATGGGAACTCTTACCACTTGAGGAACATGATGAAATACCATTTGTTATTTGCTCTAAAGAAAAATAGATGAAATTTGGACTCCTAAATAGTGAAAAAGTAATTTAAAATATTACTGAATAGAATTTCAATAAAGATTTCGCATGAATAGCAAAATATCTTTATTTTATAAAAGAGTTAATTCTGAACTAAATGCACAATAGAAAGGAATTGTGTCACACATGACCAGCAATACGCACAATAAACTCTTGACAATACATCCTGCAACAACAAGAAAACCGACCAAGAATACAATACATCCTACAACACCAAGAAACCTGACCAAGAATACAATACATCCTGTAACACCAAGAAACCTGACCAAGAATACAATACATCCTGTAACACCAAGAAACCTGACCAAGAATACAATACATCCTGCAACAACAAGAAAACCGACCAAGAATACAATACATCCTACAACACCAAGAAACCTGACCAAGAATACAATACATCCTACAACACCAAGAAACCTGACCAAGAATACAATAC